AAAGAAAGGAAGGAAGGAAGGAAGGAAGGAAGGAAGGAAGGAAGGAAGGAAGGAAGGAAGGAGGGAAGAAAGGAAAGCTGACTAGAAATAAGTCAAGGTAAGGTCAGAAATTCATAAGTAAGAATAAGTCTCCATATATTTATTTGGGAGATGAATGTTGCCCCCCCCCAAAGAGTAAAAAGGGTTTTACCAAAAAAAAAAAAAACAAGTGGACCTGATGATTATTAAATGGTTAAAGCATTGTTTATAATTTAATGTCTACAGTGTTTGAATAAGACTAGCATAAACAGCTTTTTAAAACTCCTAACTCCCTGTTGTGAATATAGGTAGGTGCCCTAGTTCACAGCAAATGACTTCTGGACTTGTCTACTACCTACCAAGTAACTAGGAAAGACTTAGCAGGAAGGCACTTCTGATGTGGTTGGTGTTAGTCCTCTGCTCAGAAAGTTCTAAGTCCTGGGTTCACCCTACACTAGTCCTGACACAGGGGGTAAAGTTTCTGGGGGCTCTACGAAGGAGAATGGTGCTTTCTTCCTCCAACTCTGCAGAGTGCCTAGCAAACAGGACAACTTTTAGTCACCAGCTTAGTGTCAATGTGGAAGTGTGTGGTTGAGGTTTTGGCCACCCTGAAGTCCTCAGCACAGAAGATCTGAACTTCCTTCTCACACACAGTCCCACCAGCCACAATTCACATTGCTGGGTTATCTCTGCATCTTTGGTGTTTTCCAATTTTTATTTATACTAGTTTTGTGGGTGGGAAAAACCTGTAATCAATTATTAGAGATAAATTTTTGCTCCTATTTCTTGCTTAGCTGTTAGGGAACACCAGCTGCTCATATGCATTGTTAACCAAGTACAGCCTAGCAACCATCCCAGATTATGGGATATGGGTTTTAAACTAGGCATATGGATAAATTTGCTGAATTTGATGTTTCTAGTTTTCAGGAGTAAGGTGTTATAGATACAACCCACTGTTAAGTGAGCCCAGTAACAGAAAATCTATATATTTAGATAATAATCTTTGTACAAGAATTCCCTTCCATCCTGGGTTCTCTAATATTCTTAAATACAACTCTTCTTTTTTTTTAAATTGTTTGCTGATAAGAACCAAAACTTATGTTAATCAAAATATAGTTACCTTATATTACTCTCATATATTTGTCCTTTTTTTTTCTAGTAAACTTTGGGGCTCAGAAAGAAAAATAGAATTAGTTCAAGCCAAACTCCAAAGTCTTTATATCTAAATGTTCACTATAGATCAATGACAAAACTTGATTCAGATAAAAAAATCAAATAAAAATGTATCTTAAATGTTGTGGGGTATTCACCAGAGAACACAGCTCAGACATGGGTTTAAACCAATAGAAAATCTTTATTAGCTGGTCGACGACGTTACAAGTTCCAGTCTTCTCCTGAGCCTTTCTCAGGGTGAGCACAAAAACTATGTTCTGGTTGACATGCTTTGGTTAGAAAGAAGCAGAATTCTAGAAGCTAAAAAGCAAGGTTAGTACATTTAGAGACTTTTACAGAACTATGGGCTTTAATGGATTGAGTCTTTGTTTTTGCTTTGGCGAGTGGTACTGTCTATGTGCTAAGTTTTATGGCCTAATGGTGCCTCCATCATGGAGTCAGTTGTGCTATGGTCTGGTAGCCTACTAATGTCTGGGGCCCTGTTACAAAATATTAAACTCTGTCCTTTTCATTTAGCAAATCCTATTAAAGTGTAACAAATAATAGTTGTTTGATCCCTATTGTTTATGTACTTTATTTTAAAAGGCTATGGGTCCTTCTGGATCCCAGTGATCTCATTAGTTAAATAGTTATTAAACCACTACCAAAAAACCTAAATTGTGTGACTCATAGTTCCGCTGAAAGTGGCGGAATGTAACTTCAAAACACAGTTACCATAGATTTGTCATCAGCTGCAGAGATTGAGGTAAACAAGATAAATAAATTCATATCTATTCGTTTGTGAATTGCTTCTGATTTAACAGTATGCACTGAATTAAGCATTTGCATGAAGCAAAAACAATATGCTGTATTAGCTAGAAATCTCTCTCTGTGTTAGTTTATGATACGATGAAAATGGCAGAACTTGCGTAGAATGGAAGCTATTCCAGAGGATTTTGGATGTTCTTGCTCATTAGAAATGGCTCTTTGAACCCAAGCATGACTTAATCCAGGTTTATAAGCATTTTTTTTTTTT